GCTCCGCTGACGGGAGCTCGCGGAAGGAGATGGCACTCTATATCTAAAGGTCTGTATGTACATATACATGTTGTGTGTATGTGTATACATAAACAGACATACATGTATACATATATGAAAATTTACGTAGATCTAACATTATACATACATGCACAACTACATGCATACGCATATATACATACATATACATGGAACTAAGACATGTGTATGCACTCTATATCTAAAGGTCTGTATGTACAGATACATGTTGTGTGCATGTGTATACATATACAGACATACATGAATACATGACATGTGTCGTATACATAACAATAAACACACATGCACAAAGACATACATACGCATATACACATTCATACGCGCTCGCGCGTTCCCCAAACTGTAGTTGCACCTAAGGGCTGAGAGTTCTCTTCTGCGGACCTGCACCTGCCCGTCGGCATGGCGGCGACGCGGTCGCCGTCGCTGCCCCGCCGCCGCCCCGTCGCCGCCCCGTCTCCCGGGCCTGCCCGTCGATCGGGCGGCCTGCCCGTCGGTCTAGCGGACATACGAGCCGCCCCGTCGCCGTCTGGGTTTGCGTTGCCTTTCATTGGTTCGCGCTACGTTGCATCGCATTGCACTACATTGATGAGCATCGCCTAAGTTGCGTTGCTCTGCATTGCTTTACGTTGACATGCGTTGAGTTGCATGAGTGTATGTGTGTGTGTGGCTTTGCGTTCCTTTCCGTTGCACTGCTTTGAATCGCGTTGCAGTGTTTGCATTGCGCCGCATTGTTCCGATGTGCTTCGCAATCGCATTGCAATGCTCTGAACTTAGTTGCGCTGCTTCGTGTTACTTCACGCTGGTTTGCATTACTTTGCAGCGCTGTGCGCCACATAGATTGTACGACATGGGCTGCACCACATGGATTGTACCATATTGATTGCATCACTTAGACTCCACTGCATAAATGGTAGGATATCGCGGCCTGGGGTCAACGGTGCCGAAAATGTGTCTGTACTAGATATGTATACGCAAGTGGCACGTGCGTACCCAGGCTTATACAAATTAATTGCAGCACGTAAGCATCGCAGGCAATTAACAAGAAGAGGAATACGAAGTCGGATGCGAGGAAGAAGAGGAGGCGGAAGGAGGTGGAAAAGCAGGGGAAAACGGAGAGAATGAGGACAATGAGGATCACCAGAAGGCTGTTGGGAAGGAGGGGCAACAGCGGGATCGCAGTCGAACTCAGGTGGGGTGCACACCTTGCGATGTTTGTGGCGCAGGAGGGCGTTCCACGCCCTGCGATTACAATTTTGGAAAAGCTCCGAAACCAGTGTTTGGAGGATGTCTCGAGCGAAACTGTCCTTTGTACTGATACGAGGACAACTTTGGAAGAGCGCGCTTGTGGCGCACTTCTCACTAAAAGGGGGGCCCCAGCTTCATGCTACCCCCCCTTCGTTGGGAAAGGAGGGGGGCTTTCGAAGCTACCGCCCCCCTTTCCGTTCCCTCTTGTGGACATTTCGCCCTCCGTCTTGTTCGGGGCCAAAGGTCAGCCCAGGCTTCCATATCAAGGAGGATGGGGCTTCCTTTTCCCAGCTGAGATTGCCGTGGCAAGGGGGGTGGGGTTCAAAGCTACCCCCTTCCACCCTTTTCCGGAGCCCAAGGGTAGCCCAGGCTTACTGTTCAAAGAGGGGGGGCTTCGGCAGCTACCCCCTCCGTTCTCCATTTCGCAATTGAGATTGCCGGGGGGAGCTTCGAAACTACCCCCATCCCCCCTATTCCGGAGCCCCAAGGCCAGCCCAGGCTTATTCTTCGAAGGAGAGGGGTGGCTCGGAAGCTACCCCCTCCCATGTCCCTTGCGCAGCTGAGATTGCCATGCCAAGGGGGGGCCAAAGCTCCCCCCCACACTCTTTCATTTTCCTGAGCCCAAAGTTAGCCCGGGCGTTCCTTTCAGGGGGGGGCTTCGGAAGCTACCCCCCTTTTCCTTTTCGCAGCTGATACTGGTTTGCCAAGATGGGGGGGCTTCAATGCTATTCCTTTTTTTCCCATCATCCTGCAGTGTTGGGTCCTCGTTTTGAAGAGGCGGTGCCCCACGTCCTCCTCCTCCTCCTCCTCCTCCTCCTCCTCCTCCTCCTCCTCCTCCTCCTCCTCCTCCTCCTCCTCCTCCTCCTCCTCCTCCCCCTCTCCTCCTCCCTTCCCTCCTCCCTCCTCCCGTCACCCCCTCACTTTGGCACACCCCTCACACGTTTCGTGGCTCCACAGGGAGCTCCACCCAAGGCCCCAGCGGCTGCGTTCACATGCCGCCTCCTGTTCACGTCGGCCCACCCCTCACACGTTTCGTGGCCCCATAAAGGGGCTCCACCGAAGGCCCCGGTGGCTGCGTTCACTTGCCGCCTCCTGTTCACGTTGGCCCACTCCTCACATGTTCCGTGGCCCCATAGGGAGCTCCACCCAAGGCCCAATCCGCTGCCTTCGCATGCCCCCTCCCGTGTCGTTGCTCCATACGGAGCTCCACCGAAGGCTCCAATGGTTGCGTTCACATGCCGCGGCTTGTCCACGTTGGGCCATTCCTCACATGTTCCGTAGCCCCATAGGGAGCTCCACCCAAGGCCCAATTCGCTGCCTTCGCATGCCCCCCTCCCTCCACGTTGGCCCACCCCTCACACGTTTCGTGGCCCTATAGGGAGCTCCACAGAAGGCTCCTGTGGCTGCGTTCGCATGCCCCCCCACCCACCCACTTTGGCACACCCCTCACACGCTTCGTGGCCACATAGGGAGCTGCATCGAAGGCCCCAGTGGCATGGTTCGCATGCGCTTCCCTTTATCCAGTGCAGCTTTTCGTGGCCCCGTGGGGGGGGCTCCACCGAAGGCCCCAGTGGCGGTGTCCGCATGCGTTTCGCCCACCGTTTCGTGTCCCCACAACGAGCTCCACCGAAGGCCCCAGCGGCTGCGTCCGCATGCGCTTCCCTCATCCACTGCAACGTTTCGCGGCCCCATAAACAGCTCCACCGAAGGCTCCAGTGGCGGTGTCCACATGCGCTTCCCCCACCCAGTACATCGCTTCGTGGGCCCATAAAGAGCTCCACCCAAAGCCCCAATGGCGGTGTCCGCATGCGGTTCCCCTTCCCAATACAACGCTTCGCCGCCCCATAAGGGGGCTACACCGAAGGCCCCAGTGGCGGTGTCCGCATGCGCTTTCCCCACCCAGCACAGCGCTTCGTGGCCCCACAGGGAGCTCCACCGAAGGTTCCAGTGGCGGAGGTCGTATGCGTTTCCTTCACCCAGTACACCGTTTCAATCGTGGGCCCATAAGGATCTCCACCGAAGCCCCAAGCGGCGGTGTTCGCATGCATCTCCCCGACCGAGTACAGCGCTTCGTGGCCCCGTAAGAAGCTCCACCGAAGGCCCCAGTGGCGGTGTTCGCGTGCGTCTCCCCCACTCAGTACAGCGCTTCGTGCCCTCATAGGGAGTTCAACCGAAGGCAAGGGAGCTCCAAGGGGGGAGGGGGTAGCTACCCCCCCACACCTTTGGGAAAGGGAGCTGGGGGGGGTAGCTTCCGGAGCGCCAAAGGAAGGGCGGGAGGGGGGTGATAGTTTCCGCGTGGCGGAAAAGGGAAAACAAAGGGGAGGGTGTTTTCGGCAGGGGAGGTCTTAAAGAAGGGGGTAGCTAAGCCCCCCTCATTTGGGGAAAGGAGGGTAGCTTCTGGAGCGCGAGAGGAAGGGGGAGGGTAGCTTCCGAGGGGCGGAAAACATTGAGAAGGGGGGACTTTCGGCATGGGGGTTCAAAGGGGGGAGGGTAGCCAAGCCCCCCCCCTCTGGAAAGGGAGGGGGCGGGGGGTGGCTTCTGGAGCGCAAAGGGGGGGGTAGCTTCCAAGAGGCGAGAAAAAGGGGAGGGGGGGGGGGCGGCTTCTGGCAGGGCAGGTCCAAGGGCGAAAGGGGGGGGGGTAGCTCAGGGGTCCCCCCCCTTTTGGGGGTGCGCCACGGGCGCGCTCTCTCACAACTTTGAATACGTCGGGTTTGAGTGCTGTGGGGATGTCTCGCGCGAAACTATTGTTTCTCTAAGAGCGACGCCGAATCCCATTGACAACCAGAGTGGGTTTGAAAGGTTGTATGATATGTTTGTTGAGGAATGCTTTTCGTTGGGACCGTGACGTCGCGATCTGCGTGAGGGGTGCGCCCGGCTCTTGTTGAGGATGTCGACCGACCCGCGACCCAACCCGCGACCCACCCGCGACCCACCCGCGACCCACCCGCGACCCATCCCGCGACCCCCCCCGCGACCCACCCGCGACCTACCCACATTGGTTCAACGAAAAATCGGAGCCTGCCGCGGGCTCGTTGTATAATTTGTAGAACATTTGCGCCTGCGGCGGGCTTCTCCAGACTCTCGCAAACTGCCGACGTCCCCACCGCCCCCTCACTCTTATCCGCATCTGCGTGGTGTTACGTACACACACACACACACGTACGTGTGTATATGTACATATGCAGTGTTTATGGCCCTACAGGGTGTCAATGTGCTTGGATCCTCGGTTTCCAGAACAGGCCATGTCGGGTCTCCTCTCTGATGCGGGTGCGGCTTATGCGGATCGAGGCATCGCCTCGGTGCGCGTCCCTTCCACTCGATCAGCGGCTCCGACGTCCCTGGCCCGGGCACGCTCAGAAAATGTGGCGTGGCGCATCCTGGCGCCTGGCCTTGGCGTCCCCACAACGCCTCCACCGCTCCCCCTGGGCCGCGAAGTGCCACCATGCTTGCTGGCTGTCTGGCATGCCCTGTACCCGCTCCCCACGTGCCACAAGGCCTTCCCGAAAGCTGGCCGGCATGGCGGTGGGGGCTCGCGGCTCGCGCGTCTGGAGCGCGTGGCCACCCTGCCAGGCATCTCTCTCAGTCTCTCGTCTCGGGCCCCTCGCCTCCCCCTCCTCCCTACTTTCATGCACGCGCGTTCCAGCACGCCTCTTGATCTCACACCCCTACCCGACCCTCCAACGGCCACCCAGCGCACCGCAGCCCTTGTCCCGCAGGTGCCGCCCTACGTCTGGGTCTTCGCAGAGTCCAGATGGGATTCCCGAAGAACAGGCTGGGTTCCTGGCAGCACACTACAACCGATGGCCGCTGGGCCGCCGCAGGTGCCTGCTGCTGCTGTGGAGGATGATAACGCCTCAAAGGCCGAATGGGGGGGGCACGAAACCTCGAGCTGGCAGTGTCTGCGCACACAGACTCGCGCATGTCCGACTCTCCGCGCCGAGGGCCACCAGCGCACGCCCGCACGCGCATTCGGTTGTGTGTCACGCGCGCTCCGTCCGCAAACATCTGCGTCAGTGGTTGCGTGTTCGGGTGGACGTGTAATCTTTCCGCATGTTGAGTTTATCGCGGCTGCCGTGTAGCGCAAGTCTCTTGCTTAGCACACGTATGCTTATAGTTACCCGTTAGCACATTGCGGGGATGGTTGAGTTGAGCCGTTTGCATTCGATCTGGCACGGGGATCCGATTGATTTTGTTGGAGCATATGACGGCCGGTTGTGGCACACATGAATTAATCAGCTCGGGCTGCGCAGAGGCATAACATGCTCGTTTCGGTTCGTCTATCTCAGGATCGGGCAGGGGCTAGTGTGATGTTTCTGGGCATGATTGTAGGCATCATGGTGTCGTGCTTTCTTTGCTGACCCAAGGCGGTTGCATATCCACGCCCTCTTCGAGCATAGATGGTGCGCGCTTGCTGCAGCATCATGTGCTCTTTCAGAGCTTCACGTGATCACAGCGACTCCATTTTGGGGCTTGCTGCTGGTGAACACTTGATTGGCGCCCGCTCCCTGTGTCCAACGTGCGATTTGCTGCTACATGTCTCTTCTGCCACCCCTGACAGAACTAGTTCCTTATATGATCGTTATGTTCGAGTTTTCCCTCTTCCTACATGACGTAGGCCGATATGCGCGCAGCATGTCATGAGGTGAAGGAGATGCAATACGCGGGGCAAAGTGTTAAGTAGAAAGGATGTCGCATCAACACGCTCAATGTTTCATAAGAGCTGAAACAGTCCCTTGCGTTCACCACAGGAAGAACCTAAGCGTAGTTCGGGTAACATATTCACGCCCCAACCCCTCCCCTCCAGCCTTCGAATCAGCCGCACATGTGCTTGTGGGCACGTGTGTGCATGTGGATGGTTCCTTCCTTTCGTCTCTTGCATAGTTCCACAATTGTACTGCAGCGCTCCATCGTTGTTCATCGCTCGGATGCGCACAACGACCTGCCGACGAAACATATGCATGGCGCACGAGTGCTGCATCACTCACGGCACGGACATGGCCTCCAAAAGCGTTCTTATGTTTCGAGATTTGCGCGCAGCGTCTGTATATTATCCTCTCTTTAGTTCGTCCCCTCCCTTTGTCTCTGGGTCAACCAAGTTGATATGACGGCTGTTCTTCCTCGGCTCACCTCGTGTCTTTCGGCCCACATGCTGCGCCCCGCCGGCATCTTGTCACAATTGTGTTCTTGCAGTGGGATGTGATGACGGCGTTGACGTCATCGTGCCAGGTGCTTTGAAGCCGACCGCGGGTCAGTACCCAAACGCTGATGATGACCCAGAGTTGGATCGTGTTTGCGTCTTCGTGCCGATAAAGAAGTGTTTGCCTGCCTCTTCCAATGGAAGCAACAAAGCTATTTTTAATACAGGATGATAGCGGGTACAGCCGACCAAGAGTGACACGTGAGGAACAAACGAGAGAACGAGAAGGTACGTCGAGGTGAGGCAGGGACATTGCCAGCAGAAGAGAGTAAGGGCAAAGGTGCAGAGCATCTACTTCTTGTCCCTTGTGCCCGTCCCCCCCCTACTCCGTCTCCCTCCCTCCTCCTCCCACTCTTCCCCCTCCGACGTCCTCTTCTTCCCCTTCTCCTCCGCCTCCGGCCACAGCGGATACGGTATCCGAGCAAAGGTTTCCGTATCCACCGCGACGGTTTCCGTACCTATTGTCACTTGTTTGGGGGAATATATCAACGTCGGCGTCGGTATCTACCCACATTGGTTGATGCATCGGCAACACGGAAGTGATATCCGAAGACCAGTTCTTGTAGCCATCAAAACGGTTTCCGTATCCATTGTCATCGGCTTCCGTATGCAGCAATGATGGCGGCGGTGTCCCGTAGTGAAGGCAATGACGACCATGAGACGAAAACCGTCCAAGAGCCAAGTGAAACATGTTGAATCACAGTGCGACGACGGTCGTCTTCAGCGACGTTGGGTTGCAGGTCGAGTAGCGTCAAAGGAAGCGCATTCAGTTGGCAGCCATCGTCAATAACAGTAGCGACGGTGAAACGAGGTCAGGCGTACGCAAAACGAATGGGAAACATAGCAGCCAGCGCAGACTCCAAATAGATCACAGGCATGGCATGGACTGGAGCGGACTTAAGTAGACTGGACTGGAGTAGACTGGACTGAATAGGGGTGTACTCTACTCCACTCTGTTCTGTTCTATTATGTCACACGACTCTACTCCGCGATTTACACTACTCATGTCTAATTTACTCTATATTATATTCCTACTCTAGTACTTAGCCCTTTCGGCTCAAGCCTGCCTTGGGCGCCAGGGCGGGCGAGGAGCGCGCCGTGCCTCTTTCTTGCTGCTGGTGCTCTACAGAGCGGCTCTGTCTCCTTCCCCCTATGGCGCGGCCCCCGCGATGAAAGCGGGCTTCGAGGCAACGGGCCTACGTTCGAACGGCGGCGCGGGGCTGGTCATGGCGATGGCCGTCTAGGGCGCTTCTCAGGGCGCGGCTGCGGGCGGCGCCGTGCGGCAGGCTGTCGCTGCCGCCGTGGCGGTGGCGCTGCGCGCGGCGTGGGAGCTGCTGGCAGGCGCCGGCTACGAGGAGGACGCATCGCAGAGCTCGCGATGCGCTGGCATGCCATGGAACTCGCCATGGGCCAGGAGCTGCGAGGCGCGCGGCCCTGTGGCGTGGCGCGCGCCAGGCGCAACGTGGGGGCGCACGTCGACCTCGGCAAGGGCGTCGAGGCCTTGCGGCAGGCCCTGGCTCGGCCGCAGCGCGCCCAGCGTGGCGGGCGCTGCGGGCCCCGAGTGCCGGCGGCGGCGTGCCAGGCCGCCGACCTTGGCATCTCGACCTCGGACTCGCCCGCGAGGCTCGTGGCGGCGTCCCAGGGCACGGAGAAGGTCGAGGGCACCTCCGAGGGCATGGAGCTGAGCGAGGTGCACCCCTATCCGCTGATCGAGGTGACGTGCGCGGCGGTGGCTGAGGAGGCAGACGAACGCCCCCTCGAGGCCGCCGACGGCACCCAGACGCGCGGGACCGCAGGCCGCGGCTTGCCGACAGGCCTGGAGGGCAGCTGGGACATAGGCGTGCACGAGTGCGACCGCCTCGACCCGAGCGTGGATGGCCTCGATATGCAGGCCACCGAGGGCCACGGCGGCGAGCCCGCTGAGGGCCCTCACATGGACGTGCGGTTCGCCGAGGCCCATGCCGAGACGGAGGTCGTTCGCGGCAGCCGCCGAGCGCCGGTGAGGGCGGTGAGCGCCTGCGCGGCAGCCCGTGGCGACCGCCGAGCCGCCACTCGGGCCTGGACGCGTGCCAGCAGCGCTGGATGGCGCCTCGTCTACCCGCGGGGGCACCCCGCCCGAGGGTGGCGCTTCAACCTGGCGCAGAGGGCTCGGCTGGCCGATCCTGTGGGGTCGCAGAACCCTGGCCTCAGGGCCTCGCTGGTGGAAGCCAGGCCTCGGCGAGGCGGGCGCGGGCGCGCAGGAGGACGAGAGCCTCTCCAAGGCGGCCAACAACACCGAGCCGCAGGTGACCGAAGGCGGCGGTGTCCCGACAGACCTTGAGGACATCAGAGCGTGAATTACCTACCCCGCTTTCGATTCCAAGCAAAACCAATCCGTACCACGCGCCTCCTCGTCAAGCGGCCTGACAGTACAGGCCGTAGTTTGGCATCGCTTGGTACCTTTTGGAAGCGAGGGTGGTCAAAAGCGAGGTAGGTTTGTTTGCCCCCGAGGACAGGCTGGACGCCGACGACCGCGACATGCGGAGGCCTGACTGGCAAGCTGCGGACGACAGGGAGGGCTCGCACTCCCACCTCGCCCTCGGCGCCAGCTGGGGGCTCGAGCGTGGAAGGCCAGTTGGCTTGGCGGGGTTGGCCGCAGGCACGGACTTGAACCTGCCGTATATCCGTGGGGTACCCCTGCTTTAGTCGATTAGATGTTTAGTTTGTCTACGCTAGTCTACCAGACTCCACGCTGTCATCTATATCTTTCTATGATACCCTATCTTTCCCAGCCCCCACCTACTCTACTAGATTATAATATTATATATCAATGTTCCTTCTCGGCGGGTGTATGTATAGATATATACATATACATATATATACATATATATAAACACATACATACACACATACATACATACAGACAGACCGACAGACATATGTATAGCTCTGCCCCAATACCGGCCGATAGCAACCAGGTCCGGATGGCTCCATTTTCTGTAAGCATAGAAGAATACAAACAAAAACAAAGAAAAGGACTGTCGTTTCAACATGGACATTAAGCCGCCCACGTTGCAGAATGCATGGCGGGAGTGGGACGGGGCGCGCATCCCGCGCGAAAGGCCGACATGCCGCTTCTCCCTCCAGCGCCGCATTCGTGTTTCAAGAGAGATGAGTTCCCGCCTGGGCGGGCGCGGCGCACATTTTTCGCGCGCAATTTCGTCGACGCGCGAGGGAGTGAAAGTGTGGCTGCCGCCTATGCGCCGCGCAGGCTTTGCTTGAAAGGGGCGGCCCCGCCTCGTCGCGGCGCGTATTTTTCGCTCGCCAGTGTGGGAGGGCCCGCGCGAGTGGGCGCTTTGTCGCCCTTGCCCAAGTTCCGCGCGCAGTTTGCATGGAAGTGGTTTCCCAGCGCGGGCACGGCGCACGGCTCGTTCGCCGAACCGCATGAAGCCGCCAGCGGCAGCGGGGTCGCGCGAGAGCGGGCGAAATGCCGACCTCGCCCAAGCGCCGCGCACTTTGTCCGTGACAGCGGCAATGTTGTCTCAGCGCAGCGCATGTTTCGTCTTCGCCGCGCCCATCGGGCACGTTCTCTCCCCCCGGATCCCCCGTTGGCGACCCCCCCCCCCGAGACCCGCCGGGACCCCGTGGCAGTTGGTATTCTGACCCCGGACCTTCTTTCCCCCCCCCCCCCTCCCGCACCCCGCCCACCCTCCCACAGGAAAGGGGGTCGACTTAATTACGACATTCCTCTTCCTCGTTCCTTAATTTTCTTTGGAGCTGACGAGGACGACGACGACGACGACGACGGCGACAACTCACACGACAAAGGCTCGCCAGATGTGCTACAAAGGTGGCGAGGTATGCGTTCGAGCAGGCCGTTGCGCATAGCGTCGTGCGGCTGGCACATGTTGAGCCAGCGCGCGTTGTGGTTGAGATGTCGATTGTCTGATCTTGAATCAAACGAGTAGTGGATGTGCACTTCAGGTTCGGTATTGCGGCGCCGAAACAATAGATGTGCTAATCAAACACAACGTTTGTCCGATCCCACTAGTTTGATTATTCCATCTCCGGTCGCCTTCGCCCGCTGTTTTCCAGGTGCGGTTTCCAGCCCATACGATCGTTCTGTTTGACAAGCGTTTGCGGTCGGCGTATTTTGTCGGCCCCAAGACGGCCTAATTGACCTTAGCGACATTCCCAAATCAACGAAATTTATACGAAAACGGTTTAAGATAGTTGATCGTTATAAAGAAAGAGCCTAGAAAGCGAGAAAGAGCCTAGAAAGCCTTGATCGTTAGAAAGATAGACGGCCGACGAGGATTCCAACACGCTCCAGGACAGACTCAAGAGGCTCCCCAACAGGGCCTGGAAGGCAAGATTCACTCGTTTTCCGAGTGTTTTGGATTTTGGCGTTCTCGCTTTTCCCGCTTTCCAGCGCTCCCTCACGGCCTCGGAGGCTTTTCGGAGCGCTACAAGAAGGCCCACGAGGCCCCCACGAGGGCCCCAAGACGACCCAGGGTGCTCCCCAGACAACCCAAGTGTGCCCCAAGAGCGCGCCAAGAGAAGGCCCAGAGGGGTCCCGAGGCGGCCGGGGCCCGCCCCGAAGCAGGCCACGATAGGCGAATGGAGGTCCCGAGAAGACCCTAGACGGTCCCAAGAGGCCCCGAAGACGCCCAAGTTGCCCTCAAGACGGCCGACGAGGACTCCAACACGCTCCAGGACGGACTCAAGAGGCTCCCCAAGAGGGCCCTGGGAGGCAAGATTCGCTAATTGTCCTGTGGTTTTTGAAGGATTTAGGCGTTCTCGCTTTCCCTGCTTCCCAGCGCTCCCTCACGGCCTCGCTCGGAGGCCCTTCAGATCGCTCCAAGACGGGCCACGAGGCCCCGAAGAGGGCCCCAAGACGGCCCAGGAGGCTCCCCAGACCACCCAACTGTGCCCCAAGAGCTCCCCAAGAAGGCCCACAGGGGGACCGCCAACCGACATTTCGAGGTATCTGGCCTTGGAGGCCGCCTGTAGGCCCCCGGAGGCCACCAAGAGGCTCCCACGAAGCCCCGTGAGGCGCCCAAGAAGCCCCCAGGAAGCCGCAAGAGACCCCCAAGGGGCTCCCAGGGAACGCCCAAGAGGCACCCCAACACACCCCAAGATATCATGTCCCAAGAAAACCTTTCGGGGACATGGTTCATCATGGGCCCGAGAGTTCCCGGAGGCCCCCAAGGGGTCCCCAGGGAACGCCCAAGAGACCCCCCAACACACCCCAACAAACCATGTCCCATGTCCCCAGAAAGCCTTCCGGGGGCATGGTTCATCATGGGCCCGCGAGTTTCCGGAGGCTTCGACGTACCATCATGCTACAGGAGAGTTGTCTGGGAAGTTG